CTCTCTCTCTCTCTCGTATAAAATATATCTCATTAGCGGTTATCTCAAGAATTTATTCGCCCAAAAAAACCTGAAAAAGCTTTTTATGATTTAGAAAATTATGAAAATTAGTATTTGAAATGTGAGCCGAGATATCGAGGAGAGAGAGAGAGAGAGAGAGAGGTGGTAGAGGATGGAGAGGGAGTTTGACATCAAAAATAAGATCTCATTTGTAATACTCGTTTAAAAGGATATCAAAAATATAAGTTTTTCCTGAATTTCATTAATAAAACTTAAAAAACTTATTAATATTAATAAACAAATGTATTGTAATTCACACCAAACCGTATGCCATATAACGTAATGTATGTAATCGTATGCATAAACAACATAACAACAAGTCATCAGCGATTATATCGTGTTATCTGTGCGTCAAATCAGTTATCAGTTAATGGGTTCTAAAACTTGACATTTTGTTTACATGACGAGTGAAATAAACTTTTTATTTGATATGATTTTTGTTGAAAATGTTGTCCAGAAATGTGTTTCAATGCAAACCATTGGTCAATAGGTTCACCGATTGGACACTAATTCACCGACATTTAGCCATCTGGTCGTCAAACAGCGGCGGCGGACATGTCCTCAACGGTGTCGCCGGTCAGCGGCACGTCTTCGTTGGTCACACGAGATCTGTGGCCAACTTTTACTCCACGTTTAAGACGAGACACAAAACGAGTGATGATTATAACGATTCCCGACAATCAGATGATAATCGCGAGTTTGCGAAGAGATTTGCCCTCAAATGGGGACCCGTTTTGGCCGCAATCGTCGGCACAACTGTGGCCACAGTCGCCGCCAAAGAGGAGGTCAACGTCGAAGAGTTTGAGGAGTTTGGCCGTGAGATCGACGGTCTGAAGAGCTATACGGCCGAAGAAGTGGCCAAACATAACGATATGTCGCGAAGGGTTTGGGTATCGTTTCGGAGCGGTGTTTACGATATCACCGATTTTGTGGCACAACATCCCGGCGGCGATAAGATCCTCATGGCTTCCGGTGGAGCTCTTGAGCCCTTTTGGACACTGTTTGCCGTCCATAAGACACGGGAAGTGTTCACTATTATGGAGAAGTATAGGATCGGGAATTTGGACTCAAAAGACAGGAATGCGATTAAAGCGGGAACCGATTCGACGCCCGACCCGTACGCCAACGATCCGATCAGACATCCCATTCTGAAGGCCCGCTCCCAGAAGCCGTTCAACGCGGAACCGCCCGAAGAATTACTCGTTCAGAAGTTTATAACTCCGAAGTAATTGGTTTTAAATTTGAATTTATTTTTATAAGTTATGAATTATTTGTAACTTTTGTATTGAATAGGGAATTGTTTTTCGTTAGAAATCACTTACCGGTGCCTGAAATCGATATCGAAAACTATACGCTAGAGATCGAGGGCTTTGGCCTCAAAGCGCCCAAAACACTCACTTTAGACGAGATTAAGACCAAATTCCCGAAACACACAGTCGTGTCGACCATTCAATGCGGCGGCAATAGAAGGGCCGAAATGAACAAAGTATTGATCGCTTGACATATGCCTTACACTCAATGATTAGGTTTTGATTTACAAAACAGATTAAAGAAGTGAAAGGCCTGTCGTGGGGATCGGCGGCCATCAGTAACGCCAAATGGAGTGGCGCTCGACTCGTCGATGTCCTCAAATACTGTGATCTAGATTTTGACGACAAGAATATAAAACACGTTCAGTTCGATGGACTGGACTTTGATGTCTCGTCCAATCCGTACGGCGCCAGCGTTGAGGCCTTAAAAGTGCGGCTCTGGTTAAAACCGTAATGCTGTTTCCAGTCATCTAATTGTGTCCATTTGTTTAGGCGCTGAATCCAAACGCAGACTTTTTGATCGCGTATGAGATGAACGACGAGGACATACCGGCAGATCACGGCTATCCGTTGCGTCTGATAGCGCCGGGAGTGGTCGGCGCCCGTAATGTGAAATGGTTGGCACGCATTGTGCTCAGCGATGAAGAGAGTCACAGTCATTGGCAGCGCAATGATTACAAGAGTTTTTCGCCAAACATCGACTGGCATAACGTGGACTTCAATAGCGCGCCCGCCATTCAAGAGCTGCCGATTCAGTCGGCTATATGTGAGCCAAGAGAGGGACAGACAGTGGCATTGGATGCCAATCGGACGATACAATTGAGTGGTTACGCGTGGAGTGGCGGCGGAAGGAAAGTGATTAGAGTGGACGTGACGGCTGATGAGGGCGTCAATTGGGTTACCGCCGAACTGGAACAGGAGGACAGTCCTCTCAATAGGACATATTCGTGGACTCTATGGAAGGTATTTGTGTTATTGAGTGATAATTGTGTGGCATTTGCATTGAAAGCACAACATTTATGTCCCATAGGCTAACATCCCGGCGCCCAAAGAGTGGAAATCTGGTCATAAAGTGGAACTGATATGTCGGGCCGCAGACTCTCATTACAATTTACAGCCCGAGAATGTGCGACACCTGTGGAACTTGAGGGGAGTCGTCAACAATTCGTGGCATAGGGTTAACGTTACCATCAAATGAATGGACACTCGCTATCAGATCCTAATAATCGGGAAATTAACAAACATTTTTGCGAATTATGTTTTTTGTTAGAAGTTTATATAAAATTTGTATTTATATTCATTTGTTATAACTTTGGAAAATTATGTGATAAATAAAATACATGTTATATACAAATGTAATTAAAATAAATCAATAAATTTCTAATTATTGAAAGTTTTGTCAGAAATGTTTGTCGTATAGAGAGATGGCGTTAAGTGTAATGTCAATGGGATAACAGACGAGAGTAGGCCATCGCTAATGTCATACACATAGTTTGCCCCCAAACGCAAACAGTTAATTAATTCACATTCTAACTCAACATAAAAGCCCCTCAAACTCACAAAAAATCGTAACACTAGTTGCGTGCGGTCCCGATGGCGAGCGCGCGTCTGTCGCAACACATTTACAATGAATTTTCTGGAAAAACGATTACAAAAATTTTGAGTGCCTTTTAAAACACCACTCAATGAATGAATGAATGAATGAATGACTCGTTTTTTCCTCAAAATCTATAATTTTTGTGTCAATTATTTGTTTCATTAGTTTTTTTGCCAAACATTTCCTAAATTAGTCCACAATTTAAACGTTGAGAAAAGTTTTGTTTAATTTTGTTGTGTTTTGTTTACCCGACGGTTGAAGTGAGCAGTGATTGGACCGCGAAATGAGTGATCACGAAGTGGTCGACGAGAAACCGGAGGTCGAGTCGACGCCGAAGACGACAGAGACGGCCACCGAAGCCCCGGAGGACACGACGGCCGCCACTCCTAAGCCTGAGGGCAATGATGGCGGCGAAGAGTCGGGCGATGATATGCCGCCACTCGAAGACATCAAATACGATGACGAGACGGACGACGCCGTGAAGAAGAAGCGAATTGTGATACCGGAAGACAAGCCGAAGCCTAAGCCGGCCGAAGACGGTTGGCTCGACGTACTCGACAACGGAGAGCTCCGCAAGTTTGTGCTGACGCCCGGCGCCGTCGGTCAGCCCCGGCCCGAGAGGGGCTGTATTGTGGCCATCAAACTGGTGGTGAAACTCGAAGAGACACAAGCGGTGGTGGAGTCCGAGTCTCACGAGTTGACTGATATGATTGTCGGCGATTCGGATCTATTCCAGGGCTTAGACCTTATCATACCGTTGATGGACCAGAAAGAGGTGGCCCGAGTGGTGGTCAGCTCTCGGTTCGCGTACGGGAAGACAGGCATTCCCGGTGCGATACCGCCCGACGCCTCACTCGACTGCGAACTCCATCTGCTGTCCGTCCAGTGGTTAGACGAAGAGTTTGTTTTGCCTATTGTTGACCGCATTCGTATCGGTAAGCGATTGGTGGCCGCCATTGGCTTATATCTCAAAATGTGTTTTGTATTGAATTGGTTTTCTGTTGTGTTTTTAGGTAACCGTAAGAAAGAGAGGGGAAACTTCTGGTTCGGTCGTCAAGAGTACTCCACTTGCATCCAGTGCTACAAAAGCGCCATCAAGTTATTGGACGCCACCGACGAAGAGTTGGAATCGCTGGACACCAACGAACTGAAAGAGCATTTCGATCAACAAATGAAGGGCGAGAAGAAGTCGCCCGAAGACGAGGAGCGCGTGAAAGAGTTGGTCGACATTCGTGGCGTCACTTACAATAACTTAGCGATGGCTCAGATGAAAATCGACGACTTTAGCGGTGCCTTAACATCGGTTGAGGCCGTTCTGGTGACTCAGCCCAACAACGTTAAGGCTCTCTTCCGAAAGGGCCGTATTTTGGCCGAAAAGGGCGAACTCGAAGACGCCATCAAAGTGCTGAAGACCGGTCTGACGCTCGAACCGGACAATAAGGCCATCGCCCAGGAGTTGAACAAATACAGCGCCAAACGTAAGAAAGAGTTGGTCACAGAACGGGATCTCTACAAACGTATGCTTCAGACGGACAAGTCTTCGCCGCCGACCACTCCGTCGAAAGGTATTGCAAAACATAGTTCTGATAAAAAATGGCTCAAATGGAGTCTAATAGGAGGTGCGTTGACCGCCTCTGTGGCCGTGTTTAGTGCCCTCACCTATCGGTTTGTACAATAGGGTTGTGGGGCCGCAGTTCGGTCACCGGTTTGGGTGTTGAGTGCAATTGTTAGCAGTTTTTTCTAATTGTTATTTTATACTATCAATGAATAAATTGTTTTTCCATTTTTACTATTATAACAAATATTTTCCTCACATTTTGTGATACAAAGTCTCACTTTTCTCTTCCCTTTTCCTCTCTATCAATGATATTATATAACGAAATAATTATACAGTTATTTATTATGAAAATTTATAATGAATTTTTATTTTAAATATTGAATATTAATATAAATAGTTATATATTGAAAGTCATCGACAAAATGAATGTTTCTTATTATGAAAAACGATTATTAAGTCAATTGAATGAAAGCGAAAAATTTTGTTTCATCTTATGTTTGATATCTGTTTTTCATTCATTAGTTTTTTCAGACAATGATTTAAATGTTTTATGTTTTAATTATATGTCACTATTATTGTTGAATTTCAATATTGATTTAGCGTTTAAAATGCAATTTGAATGCAATTGTTTTGTTGGCTTTAATTTGATGTACATTTAAATTAGGATTTAATTTTGTATAGATTTTTAGTATTAGATTTTGAATATCGTTTATAAAAATATCACTTATTTTTTTAATTTAATTTGTAATAAAAATTGATTTTAAACCAAATTAAACGCTTTGTTTCTCAATATATCTGTGTATTTAAATAATGAACTGAATTACAGGTTCGTGAGGCCAACGTTGGACAGACCGATACCGCCGGCGACCGTATTGTCCGAATAGATGGCAATTCGACATCGATTTGGATTAATAACGCGAATGCAATACCCATTGGTGTTGGCTTCGCATCGGTTCCCACTAAACCTATTACCGCAGCCCTGAATCTCTATATTGTTGTCGTCGTCGCTATTGTAGTCCCGATCGGATCCACTCTCACCTCCAGTCCTTAGTCCGTCGATATCGTCTGACATTCGCACCTATTTTTATATTAAACACAATTTTTATATTTGCACAAAATGTTTGTTACAAATGATTGTCAGTAAACACAGAGTTTAACACAATTACCCGAAAGCCGTCGGCGGCTGTCGTTCGGCCGCTGTTCCTATCGATTTGATAGTTGTTTCCATTGACCGAAACCCAGAGCCGATTGAACGCCTGGACGTTATTGGGAACAGTGATGGCGCGGCCGTCGAAGACATTCTCGCGTACGGCTCCGCAACACGTGCCGGCCTTGACGTGGACGGCCTCCGCGGCCGCACCCGTTTGGATGTTATTGTTGACGATAACGTTGCCATCGCTTCGGTCCACATATCCCCGGAAACCCTGCCTGTAATCGCTTCCGATGACAATCCCGTAGCCATTCTGTTGCGCGCGAATACCCGTCCGATAGATGATACAACTCCTGATGGTGTTGGCGTCGCTGTCCTGTCTTATAGTGACGCCCTCTTCGTCCATATTCCTGAGACTAACCCTTTCGAGTAAATTGTTTTTGCCGTTTTGTATAGCGATTCCGCGCCGACACCCGCTAACAGTGAAGCCCCGCAAATGCCAGTACTGTCCGGTCAGGTATAGACCGGTTCCGCCTCTGTTGGACAGTACGGCTCGCGCCGAACCGACCAGACGTATTGGTGCGTTCGCTCGGCCGATACGGTTGGCCACAAAACTGCCCGAATAGTAGCCGTCCCGGAGCTGTATTGTGTCGCCCGGACTCACGATTCGCAGATAATCACGCAATTGCCGCGAAGTGGTGGCCAAATATGCGCGGCTCTCAACGCACCCGTAGTATACGGCCGATGAATACAGTAAGAGTGTTATAAACGGATTCATTACAAATTCACACATCAATTCAAATGCATAAATGTTTCGCTGAATTGGCAATCATTTGGCAAAACTGTTCAAATGCTATGACAAAAGTTTTGCAACTTTACCCTATCGTTCACTCTCTCCCCTCTCTAACAGACAATTGAATCGGTTTAAGCGATATATCATTTATTTTATATCCTATGCTATCATTAAAATGCGTTAAACACACAAAAAGAGTTGCTTTTTATTCAATTATTGTCTAATTTTCGCATTCAATACGATTTCTATTGTACTTATTGTATGGAAAGTATTTTTTGGCATATAATAAGTGCTATCATTAGATGTTATATTCTTTCATACATTAAGTGCAATAATATTTGATTTAATAGCGAAAGTGGAGCACAAATAGATGTGAGGGTCGGACACGATATTAATCATAATGTGATTGATTTAAACGCATTCACATTAGTGTTAGTATTGGTGTTATTATTGTTATTATTGTTCACACAAACCATCGGTTTTCAAAGCAAACAAATTGTTTTAAATTCACATCATTTTGAATACAAATTGAATAATGACTGTAAATCCGGCTCTCAATACACGTGTGGTTATTATTCCCAGAATTTTGTGTATTTAATGTTTAATATAATGTAGAAAATGATAAAAATAGACAGAATTTAAAACGAAATTCATTGTCATTCATATGTTTGGTTGCATTAAGTGATGCAAAATTGCGGAATTAGTTCAATAGTATTAATGTTAATATAAAGCAATCATATTTCCAAATAGTATAATATAATTGCCAAAGAAATGACACAATATTATAAAATATTCTTAATACTCGTCTTAAATAGTGGTTAAACTCAAAGCACAATATAATTGAATTATAAACATATTTTAAAAATATTATTAACAATATTTTGATGGAAAACAAAACGTTACTATAAATGTCTGCAAACATTAAAATCTATATTTTGAGAAAATTAAAAATATAATTTAAATTTAAATCAATAAAGTTTAAGATCTCAATAGAAAACAAATAAATTTATGTTAAGTATTAATTAACCAAAGTTTTTGTCTACAAAAATATAAATCAAAATAATTTTATTGTGATTTATAAGTGTTTTTATAACAAATAGTATAACAATATTTAATTAAAACAATTATATAAATCACGAGAATTTCAAAATTCAAATACTTTTCGCTATTTCTATATCGAGACTACATTTTATAACTAAATCTCAATTGTAATTAAGTGTCCATTTGTTAAACGCATTCATAGATCTAATTCATTGATTCACAGATAATACATATTAAACTCATTAAACATATAGTCTGTGGTAAAAAAGTGGTGAATAGAAAGTGAGAATGATCTACATTTTGATCGTTATGATGGTGTCGGCCATCGCCACCAATAATGGCCTCGATTTGCTTATCGGTGCCCAACAGTCGGCCAATTCTGGAGAGACAGAAGCGCTCCCTTTTGATAATTGTAGTGAAGACTCACGTAAACTGATTGCACCGGGCATTATCTACTGTGTGGAGGCCAAGTGGGGGCTCAGCAACAAACAAGACCTGGACTTGCAATTAGCCCCGGATTGTTGTGCTATGTACGAGTTTGTACATTTAACAACACCAGTGGTATGTGCCATACTTGTGTTTTGTTATATATGCCATCAAATGTATGCATTTGATGATTAATCATGTGATTAATTAACCGCCGATTCAATACCCGAATAGATGAAGAGAGAGTGCAAAATATTAAGAGATACGGACAGAGCTGAAAAGGAAACACTGAAAGAATGCGCTAAATATGGCCATCACTTGAATATCGATTTCTGCGCCCGTCTGTCCGCTGGGCGACAATTCAGCCGCTTTTGTAGCAAATTTATGGCCATTAGTGGTGCCGACTCTCGTCGGCCATCGACTGCTATTTCGGTATTATTGGCGCCGATTGTGGTGTCGATTGCGGTCTCTTTTTCTGATTTTTGTCCGCATTTTCATTAGTTTTATCGCTATTTCACATCAAATTCAAGACATTATTTTAACATTTATTTTTATTCAAATTGTTATTCAATTTTATTATCTATTTTAATGGTTTTACTATGATTTATGGATAGTTTAAAATTAGTGTTAATTTTTATTTTTGTTTTTGTGTTTTGAATTATATTTATGTTTAATTTGTATTTTATTTATAAAGTATTTTATTTGTTATCTGTTTATGGCATTTTTTTAACGATTAAATTATAAGGTTTTTAATGAATTCTCGCTTTAGTACACAATAAACACAACAATACTTTCAATATATAAGTTATACAATTGATTGAAGAATTGAAATATATTTTTCCGCTGCCGTCGACTCGACATCACTTCACCGCCCGATCGCAGCGGAGATGTCGTCTCTTCATCCGAATCTATTTCAATCATTGGATCCATTTTTAACTCAAAATTTTGTACGAATTTACAAATGAATAAAATGTTTCCTTACGTCTAAATGACAGGAATTTAAAATGCATTCCCTTTTTATACCGCAATAAATACAACAATTCATTCAATCCATAAGTCATGTATTGTTGTAATGAATGCAAACATGTTTTATTCAAAGACAACAATTTTAACCGTAAATCGATTCAACATTAATTTTGCATAACATTTGTCACAATAAAAGCGTTGATATGTCTGTAATAAATGATATTTTAGGTTATTTTATGCCTTCACTGCTATTACTAGTGATTTGTTGCATAAGAAGCGCAGAATTAACAGAAGAATATGTGATTAAACCACACGATAGTAACCCTAATCTGGATTGTCGTCATTCAATGATCACATCTCTGACCAAAATGAGAGACAATTATTACTTCGTGTCGACCGTCGATAAGAAGTATTGGTTTGCGAGTGAATCGGATGTAAACACAGATCTAAACAGTCGACAGTTGCGGACAATAAGCAGGGATTGGGACAAAATCGATGCATCCGTTTATTATGGAGTGAACGCCGAGTGCTCTCAAGAATTCAGGAATTCATTAGTTTTACTCAATTATAACCAAAAGACTAAACAAAATGAGATTCTGTTCGCGAATCTCCGCCAATGGGAATGGCGTCCAATGCTTTGGTCACAGTTTGTCGGCTTTAATATAACCCACGCTTTGATCGATTGTAAAATATAGAAAATGATAAAAATAGACAGAATTTAAAACGAAATTCATTGTCATTCATATGTTTGGTTGCATTAAGTGATGCAAAAGTGCGGAATTAGTTCAATAGTATTAAAGTTAATATAAAGCAATCATATTTCCAAGTAATATAACAATTGTGAACAAAATGACACAATATTATAGAATATTCTTAATACTCGTCTTAAATAGTGGTTAAACTCAGAGCACAATATAATTGAATTATAGATATATTTTTGAAATATTATTAACAATATTTTGATGGAAAACAAAACATTACTATAAATGTCTGCAAACATTAAAATCTATATTTTGAGAAAATTAAAGATATATAATTATAATTAAAATTTAAACCAATAAAGTTTAAGATCTCAATAGAAAACAAATAAATTTATGTTAAGTATTAATTAACTAAAGTTTTTGTCCACAAAAATATGAATCAAAATAATTTTATAAATTATAAGTGTTTTTATAACAAATAGTATAACAATATTTAATTTAAACAATTATATAAATCACGAGAATTTCAAAATTCAAATACTTTTCGCTATTTCTAAATCGAGAATCCATTTCATAACTAAATCTCAATTGTAATTAAGTGTCCATTTGTTAAACGCATTCATAGATCTAATTCATTGATTCACAGATAATACACATTAAACTCATTGAACATATAATCTGTGATAAAAAAGTGGTGAATAGAAAGTGAGAATGATCTACATTTTGATCGTTATGATGGTGTCGGCCATCGCCACCAATAATGGCCTCGATATGCTTATCGGTGCCCAACAGGCGGCCAATCCTGGAGTTGGTAATTGTCTTGAAGACTCAGTTGAACTGATTGTAAAGGTCTTTATCCACTGTGTGAAAGCCAAGCTGGGGCTCGGCTACAAAGAAAACCTGGACTATACATCTGCCCCGGATTGTTGCGTTTTGTACGAGGCTTCACTTTTATCAAGACCATCGGTATGTGCCATACTTGTGTTTTGTTATATATGCCATCAAATGTATGCATTTGGTGTGAATCATGTGATTAATTAACCGCCGATTCAATACCCGAACAGATGGAGAGACAGTGCAAAGTATTGGGAACCGTGGAAAAAGAAACAGAGCAAACTATGCACGAATGCACTAAATCCGGCCATCACTTGAATATCAGTTTCTGCGACCGTCTGTCCGGTGGGCGACAATTCAGCCCCACTTGTAGAAAATATATGGCCATTAGTGGTGCCGACTCTCGTCGGCCGTCGACTGCTATTTCGGTATTATTGGCGCCGATTGTGGTGTCGATTGCGGTCTCTTTTTCTGATTTTTGTCCGCATTTTCATTAGTTTTATCGCTTTTTCACATCTAATTCAAGACATTATTTTAACATTTATTTTTATTATAAACAGTTATTCAATTTTATTACCTGTTTTAATGGTTTTCTTATGATGTATGGATAGTTTAAAATTAGTGTTAATTTATATTTTTGTTTTTGTGTTTTGAATTATATTTATGTTTGATTTGTATTTTTGTTTTATAAAGTATTTTATTATTTATCTGTTTATGGCATTAATTCTGTGTATTATTTATGCATTTTTTAACGATTAAATTATTAGTTTTGAATGAATTCTCGCTTTAGTACACAATAAACACAACAATACTTTCAATTTATAAGTTATACAATTGATTGAAGAATTGAAATACATTTTTTCCGTCGGGCGTCGACTCGACATCACTTCACCGCCCGATCGCACCGCAGGTGTCGTCTCCTCTTCCGAATCCATTTCAATCATTGGATCCATTTTTGACTCAAAATTTTATACGAATTTACAAATGATTAAAATGTTTTCTAACGTCTAAATGACAGGAATTTAAAATGCTTTAATAAATACAACAATTCAGTCAATTCATAAGTCATGTATTGTATTGTTATAATGAATGCAAACATTTTTTTATTCAAAGACAACAATTTTAACCGTAAATCAATT